GGTTTCATAGTGCAATACTACACAATGAGCTATCTGCACTCTGTCTACCGCATGGAATCGAACCCCGGATTTTAGTGCCAGTAAGTCCAAAAAATTACCGCGAACACAGCGGGGAGACAATCTTAATCACAGCGTAATAAAACATGATTATTATTACAATCTGGTGGTGGTATGTGGAAGGATGAAAATTGTGAAAAGAGGCTCGGAACTGGAAAAAAGTTTGGGAAGATCTGACTTAGGGCGTTCAAGTTTATATATATATGTGTGTATTAACATACTGGCTCATTGTGTGGAATTTACTCCCCTTTATGTTTAAATTCTATATTTCACTCACCTAAATTAGGAGCCGTATTTTATAAAAAATTTTGAAACATCAGTATAGATGCGTGACAGTCACGTTAAACAACAACAAAAAAAAACGTTCAAACACTAAAATACACCCTCTTTTCAATAAAGGTAACAACTTAGTTTCAACGAAGTCTAAATTATTTTCTAACTCAAGTCGACACAAAATAATTTATGCCACAAACAAGGTCAAAAGAGAAGAAACAAACGACACATAACGAAGGCATCTCGTATACTGTAATTAGGCGAGTATGATACGATATAAAAAACAGTTCTACGAAATACGTTTCTCGAAGTAATTGGAGATTAAAACAATTTATACATGCAACTATTAAAAAGGTCAATGGAGGTATATAGAGAATGTAAGGAATATGTAAAAGGCTTTTAAAAATGTCAAGAGTTTCTCGTGGGAAATTGCAATCTCGTTCGAATGTAAATGCTGATACAGTGGCTTCATTACCATGATAATACTTCGCGATGCACAGCAGCAATTTTCTTCCATAAACTATCATTATATTCACTCGTACATTTTATAATAACATCAGAGTTATTATTTCTTTTAATAATGAATAAAAAAAAAAAGCTCGCAAATTCCCCTAGAACTTGCATTTAATACGCACGCAATCCTTCCATTCAATATTCCTGGATAACGGACGTTATACAGGTGCTCCAGAGATCAATGGAAGTATGGGTCGTTATGATGCCAAGGCACAGCGGTTCACATACTTCTGCTCTCGCTGACCTTATTTAAAGTTTAAAAATACGAAGACTCGTAAAAATAGAATTTTCAGGTGGATATGCGACAACAAAAACTTGTTTGTAAAATTCAGCAACTACTCTAAAACCATTAGCTTTGTCATGAAGAAAGTCATACTTTTAACTCAATTTTCAGAAAGTCGTCTACCAACGTAAAATTATCAATACGTTACGATCTTTATATATATATCCTGAATTTCTGCTAAACATTTATTTCAATATAATGGGAGAAAAATGGACCAAGTGGATACTTTCAGTTAACTTTCGACACTTGATTGTTCTTGAGATTTCGACATTGATTTAATAAACACAAAACAGAAGTTACGCGTTACGCTACATAAGCGTCCGAAGCAAAATTCACTTGCCAAAAAAAAAGAGTATCTAAGCTAGGAAATTTCGTGGGCAAGCCGGAAAATATATACAATTAGAGTTGCAACTTAAGTCTGTTTTGATGCAGTATGGGCCAAAATACGACATACATCACGGAAAAACACATGCACAATTAATACGAAAATAAGCAGTTTGATGACCAACTTACGTGGCCTATTTTTTATCTTACGTCTCCAGCTACTTAAATTCCGATTTTAGAATAAGTCATTATTTCGAACCAAAATTCAATTCAAAGTTTCTTTTGAAGCTCATAATGTCATGGTAATAGGAGTTCTGTACCTACAGTGTTACATTTAACTCGACTCAAAATATTCAATGAAACTACAGGCCACCCCCTTTTTCGTAAATGTGACTTCCAATTTTGTTAAGTATATCTATCTATCAGTATGCCACACAAACATTCTCTAACGTTAATCCATCCCTGGACTACGGCTTAACAACAACGTTCTTATAATAAAAACATTTATTGATCGGCAAAAATTATTTGTCACGTGCGTGTTATCAAACGTACACCAAATAAAGCATTTCTAGAATCAGATTTAAGGTTGTTTTTTTCCGGTAGAAATATCGACAAAAACAACTTCTGATTTTTAACTGACAACTTACACATAATGAGGGACATATAAACAATGGAGCATTTATGATTATATACACTTTCTAATTGTTTCTGTATTTTCTGAGGCTAATTGATTCCTGGTGTACGAAAATTGTTGGGGCATAACAAGTCATAACTTTTATAGCAGTCGAGCTACAGTACTTTGGAAAGCACAGAAAATTGGGCAAAAAAAAGGTACCCATTTCAGCAATTACCCTAACAAATTCTCCGAGTTAAATGATGTTGTAAGAGTATTATTAGACGTGCTGTTCTTGCAAACTAAGATGTGTAGATGTGCTTACATGCTATTTAAAAGGTTCATTGAATGATCCAGTCTCTTCGCAACTCAGTTCCCCCATTGTGAATTTGAAGTGTTATTATTTTCAATATTAGAATAAATTGAAAATGCAGTAGTTATATTCTTTGGGGATGAGAGTGGATTAAAAAATATTAAACTGGCTACTGGAAAAAAAATAGGTTTTAAACACCTGAGCTTACTAGAATGATATTCAAAGAGTGATAAGACTCTGGTTTTCTGAAGTACACAAGTTACAAACAAGTTGCTTATGAGAAGACTGTTACCTCAATTGATTTTTTCCCCCACAGAATTGAATGAAATATATACCCCCAAAGACTTGGTTGCTTGAGGGGTGACTATTATCTCAATACAATGTTGACTAGAGAAAAGAATGGTAGGAATTTGAAGTTTATATCCCTAAAACCCTGGTAGCAAAGCTTTTTTTTTTCTCAACTGTTGATCACGTTAACCCTAGATGACTGAATGAAGTACTAATTATATACACCTGAAATCCTGATTGTTTGTGGGGTGACTTATCTCAATATGTTGACACCAGGAACAGAATGCTATGAGTGTGTAGTATGTATCCTCAAAACCCTGGTTGTTTGTAGGGAGACTACTATCTCAGTTGACATACTGTCACTAGACAATTGAATGTTTGAAATTCTGAGTATACATTTTCAACCCCCTAAGAATTGCTTCTGTGCAGAGGCTAACATATATTTGTCAATTTTCTCAAATCATCACCAAATTCTTACTTTATATTGATAGTCTGACGAAATTCAGGTTACAGTGAACATCTTTATGAAGAAGAAAAGTTTGTTGACATTTAATGAAAGTTCTAAACATTAATTACATGATTAGGTTCTAATTCACTATTGTAATATCAGAATATTAACATTCTTTTATATTTTAAACTATAATGTTAATTTTAACTATAATTTCACTAAAAGAACATATTAAATTCACTAACCTATTTCCTAAGATTTTACAATTAGAAAGTATGAAAAAAGATGCCAAAACATGAAACATTAAGTTAAATTACAATTAACTGATCAATCTTTATCTAGTTCAGCAAATACATGACACTTGCATCCCTCACTATTTGCGATTTATATATATACATAATTATGACATGAAATATATAATCACACAATTTTTTTTTCCAGTGCTAACATTCAATTATCACTGTGCCATTCACATGATTAAAAACTACTTTTTTGTACACAAATACACTGATGAAATATATAATTACACAATTTTTTTTTCCAGTGCTAACAGTCAATTATCACTGTGCCATTCACATGATTAAAAACTACTTTTTTTGTACACAAATACACTGATGAAATATATAATTACACAATTTTTTTTCCAGTGCTAACAGTCAATTATCACTGTGCCATTCACATGATTAAAAACTACTTTTTTGTACACAAATACTGATTTTGTATATAATGGGCTATTTATGGCAAGAAAATCACAATAAACTAAACAATTTCTTCAAATTTCTCAGGAAAATCTCTCTTCATTTTGAGTAACCATACTTTTATTAGTGGTTCTTATTACAACTACTGAATTTTTCAGGTCTTCTATTTATTTAGAGTTTTCATGAAGATCAGTTATGACTAATTTACCTCTTACTGCTTTATCATTTTTAACAGAACATTTAGAAGGAGGATTGTAATTAATTTAAAGTCTAGCCCAAGTAATTCAATGAACACCTACACAAGCATATTGATGCTTCATATTCCAACAATTCCAACAGAGGTCTATTTCATGATAATAAAAACACCAAAACCATTATTAATGTTATGAGAACTGTAAGCAATGTTATCCCATATATCCAATTATAAAGTCAACTGTGTGTCTGGTGTGTAAAGAAGGTGTAAATACAAAGAATAAAAAAAACCAATAAACAGCTCACACTTCTAATAGCAATATATATAGGAAACGCATTCTTTCACACTGCTTTTCTTACATTAGTGTTTCAACCAGTAATAATATAAATGTTATAAAGTATTTGTACATGGAATTATTGTCAAATTTATGTACTTTAAACAACTACCAGTATGCCTTTACAAATTACTGCCATAACGCTTTTAATTATCATATACAGAAAACAGACTAATAAATTATTTTGTATTTTCCTTTTGCATTACATAAAATATTTCCGTTTACTGTATGTTATACAAATAAGCTTATAAATCATAAGCTTTCCCAAACGAGTCTGTAAAAGTTACAACTTACAAGTTACAGACAAACACGCGCATATTGCTATTGCTAAGGTGGAAGACATAAAAGCTAAAGCATTTAACATTAAAACCTGTAACATTATTTCATTAACAAAATGTTTCTCCCATGTTCATAAAACTAACTGTCATATATCAGTTGAAACTGAATGTACGGATGCATTTGGGGTCTACAATAATACAAAATTTTATACTCAGCTAAAACTTATCAGTATTAAAACTATAACTTATAAGAACTTAAGTTACACTGTAAGTGTAACTGTAACACAAACAATAACAATTAACATGCACAAACACTTGCCGTTCTTAACGCAAGCTAGAATCTGTAGAGCAAATAATGACAATTTACTTTTAGTTTTACAGTTACCTCTCTTAACTTAAAATGTTAGGCCTCTGGAACTTGTGGAAGCACATTTTACACAGGTTGATTTAGTCTATACTATGTCAACATTATACCTTACAGCACTTAGTCACTAAATCCTATCATTATCTTGCAGATGTTATTACTAACGTACAACCTCCATAAACCTAGGCCTACGCTTCATTATAAAATATTACGTAAACACTCAGAAATCTAAACATTGCCAATTCGTCGGCAACGTCTCACTTGACCTCCGCTAGAGGCCACTGCAATTTTTATTTTTATTGATAAGCCAGCAGAATGAAGGTGGGTATCTCAATTTTAACAAATAAATGTTTTTTTAAATAAAGGACCGAAAAAATTTGCTCTTTTGTTTGATATTGATTTAATACTCTCCCGTGATTCTTCAAGCTATTTATAGAAATTTATAATTTGGTTTTTAATGGTATTATTAAATATTTTAATTCATTCAAATATGTGTGCCTGTTTATTCACGATACCAAACTTGCTAATAAATACATATTATATGTATATAAAAAGGGATAGCAAGTTACCAGTGATTGTTTTGTAAGAGCTGTATGGCGAAAGGTCAAGATGAACAAAACTTTTCGCTGGTAAATGGTTATTCCTTTGTTGTTAGACATCTTTACACTCCAGTGTATACTAAGCTACCTTAAATTCACTCGTATATGTAGCATAAAGTACATTTGTTAACAGGCAAAGTCAAAATTCACTAGGGGAGATGTGGTACATGTTATCTTTTCTATTTAAAAAGAATATAAGTTTAGAAAAAAAAGTCGAAGGCTATTTTCTTGCAGTCCTTTGAGTTATTGTAAACTAACTGGTCCATGCTTCAGTTATTTTACAGTTTACTTCATTTAACACGCTCTTCCTTCAAAAATAAAGTCGAGTTATTAGCTACTTAAAATGTAACAGTAAAATGTACATTTGTTGTCGTTTTTTTTTTTTGTACTTAACAACGTATTAACAAAAATAACACTTTTAATTCTGAAATACAACGCAACTAATGTATATATATTATTGGTGTTCTGGAAGAAATTAACTCATTTCTTAATAATAAAAACCAAACTTCTGCTGTTACGGTAAATAGCGTGAAATCACACGCATGCATGTTGAGCAATATTGTGTAAATATTTGTTTTCCTGGCTTGCTACATTTCTTTCATGTTTATACTTTAAAGTTATAGTGGGCTCACCCTTTAGTGGCACAGCGGTTACTCAGTGGACTTATATCGCTAAATACCGAGTTTTGATACTCGTGGTAGGGACAGCAACAGATAGCCCACTGTGTAGTTTTGTACTTAACTACAAACAAACAATATAATGTTGTCACTGTTCTTCTATAGATAGACATATTTACTGTATTTATCTTTCAAATTATTTTATTGTATATAATTAGGATAAGAATTATCGAACTTTAATGATTTTCATAAAATGAACGTGTAAAATTTATTTAGCGATTATAGAATCATAACATGCCTCCAGCATTAGAATTATTCAATTTTCTCTATTTCCTATTTTTACCCCTAAAAATAGTCACGCCAGGAAAGCATTTAAAACAACAAGAAAATATTTAAAAAAATAGATGGTGCTTTTACTGCCATCTTTTGACAACATATTTCAATAGATGAGTTGGAGCATTTCCACAATCTGTTTAACAATAAGGCAATTAAAAAAAATTAAATATTAAACTCAAAGAGAGACCATTACTATGCAATATATGTATTCAGTACAAAGTCTTAGTAATTGCATGATGTTAGAAAAACATGTAGGTTCAAGAAGTCTTGATAGAAATAAAAAAACCTATAACCCGAGCGTTTTCGAAAGGTGGACCTTTTTTTTTTCTGTTTGCCCTGACGAAGAAAGGTCCACCTTTCGAAAGCACTCGGGTTATAAGGTTTTTATCCAAGTCTTAGAAAATGGTAGTTTAAACTGCAAACAACTACAAGTTTATTCTAACTGACAACAAGATATACAAATAATTACGCTTTCGTTTACTACAATTTAAAATACAATTTTCTACTGAGTAGTAAAAAATAGCAACTATTTGAAATATTTTGATAACATTTTAAACATTTTAGAGCAGTTCAAAGTCCCTTTTTACGAATTGATCATAATTTTTGGGAAATGTTAACAAGAATAATTCGTTTCATAATGTAGGGAATTATAGCTACATCGTAATACCACAATAACTCACCTTTAGTACGCTTTATGAAATGAAAATTTTGATGATTTTGAAACACGTTTTTGCATCATTATTATTTAAGTAATTCTTTACAATACCGTATACAAATAGTTTATCTAATACAATGTCTAAATTCAAGTAAAATTGTGTTAATACTGTTCATATTTCGCCAGTATGATTTGATATATTTTATTTGTTTGTTGGTAAGCAGAGAGCTACACAATCATAATATATCTATTTATGCTATACTGTCTATGCCCACCGAGAGCATCGAAACCCGATTTTTAGCGTGATAAGTCCTTATACTTACCGCTGAGCCATTCGGGGATGTAGGGGCGGAAAGTGTTTTCTTAGTATAATATTATACAATAGGCTGTCTGCGCTTTGCCCACAGCAGGGAATCGAATCCAGAATTTCAGCGTTGCATGTCCATAAGTTTACCGATGATCTATCTAAAGTTATTATTATCATTATTTTATAATTAATATAGTAAGTTATGAGTTCAGGAATAAACAAAATGCCCCTTGCTTCCCTCCTCCTCCTGCTAATGCTGTCCTTGGTGGTTTACCCTGTACTATATTGAAGGGATTAAATACATGATTTGTTTTTTTCTTTTCATTAGATCTTTTTTTTATTAGCTGAAAGCTATTATCCAAGAATAAACAATATTTTTCTTAATGTGACGGTGTAAAATCACCAGGTGCTGGCAAAGTTATTAATGGAATGTATTGGCACCTGATGATTTCACACAGTCAAATTAACTTCTAGTAGAAGAAATATATGTGTGACGAAATCTAATCTTTTTTTGTTTCTTTACTAGGAATACTCCTTTGTAAAAAAGTACAAACTTGTTTTTATTCCATACATTCTCAAGAATGTATTTCTTGTCAGTTTGTTTCATAGAATTAGCTTCATTAGCTTATAGGCTATGTTTTTTAGTTCTGATTTATATAATACATTTACTTTTGATAAAAAAAAAGAAGGGAGAGGATGATTTTGGTGAACTTAACAAGATTATTTGCGGAATTGAATGGATAGGCCTTTGATTTCTTTGTGCTATCTTCTGAAAATAATAGAACGAGAGAACACAAGTTAAAGATTTGGAAAAGAAAGGATAAGCTCCAGTTAAATTAGTTTTATTTCAATAGTAGGATGACTGATTTAGGAAATTAGTTACTGTTGGTAGTAGTGGAGGGGAGTCGATATATTCCTGAAAATTAAAGGATAGATTTAGATGTTTTTACTTTTCCTAATTAAGGGAGATGGGGTATAAGAACAGCCTGGAAGGACCAAGTGATCCCGTATTGTCCTCATGTTATGCTACGTGAATAAACATAATATTTTGTCTTCAGTATTTAATACGGTGTTTGCGATGTTGGTTAAACTTAACTTTAAATGAAATTGTTTTTCAACTGATTAGATGGATAATAGTAATATATTTTTACTATATGTTATTATTATAAATAAAAATATTTATTATTTATTTAGTATTATCATTATTATTTTATTTTAGGTGTTCTTCAATTGCGACACCTGCTTTTCAAAAAGCCACTAGGGGAAAGTTGCACTGAACTGGAAACGCGGGGGAATTAACTTTAAAGTTTAAATGATGCAGTACATTGTACTTATAAGTTAAATAATGAGGGTTATAGTGTTATCCTAGTTAATTATTAATAATTATAAAGGTTAGCTGGTGTTTGATTAAGCGTTAAGATTGGATTAGCAAAACGTCAATAAAAGACTTAAAAGCATTTGATTGTGTACTACTAGTACTAAGTACAGTGTACAACCTGGAGTACACTATAACTTATAAGTTATATTTATAAATATACTTTATAAACTCAGATACTGATATACTTTGCTATTCTTACCCAGTTAATGTTCCAGATATTCTGTTACAACTTACACTGTTGCAGTGTTAGCTTTTTCAGATTGATTTCGCTTTAGCATGTTAGTTTTATAGACTATTTTCTAAACTTAACTTTAAATTTTTCCATTAATGTTACACTTATAGGATGAAATGTAGTAATTGGTATAACACTGGGAGTAGCCTGGTTATTATAAATGTGTAAGCTTTTTATTTAATTTTCCATCGTTATGTATGAAGAGAAAAAATAAAAGCCTAGGCTTAAAAACTGGTACTAAGTGATTAAGTGACTTAAGTTATGAAAATATAGTAATATTAAAAGGACAATTTGTATTTTTAATGAGTTATGTATACAACTTGTAAGTTGTAGTAATACACATACTAGTATTAGTAATAGGTGTAGTACTTTGCAGTATTAGTAGCAGTGGATTAGTGACACCAATTGATTTTATGCAACTTTTTTTAGAAGTAAGCCTTTAACTTAAAATATTGTGTATTATATTTTAAGTATACTTTAGAGCTTAATCTAATGTAATTCAGTTTGTGCTTTATAATAATTTATATGACTGTTCTGTTTTCTTAACTCTTGAGTTTTGGGGGCATATTGTTTTCCATTTTTGTAATAATAATAATAAATAATTTTGATATGACACCAACAAAAAAAAGTTGTACAATCATAAGTTTATTAAGAAAGCAAGGAGAAAGAAAAAAAAGATTGATAAAATGCCCTGGCTGTGAAATGGAGATTATAGAAAATGCATTGAATTTTCACTTGGATAATGATTGTTCTTCAAAGCAAGCAGCTGAGCCTGAAGGAACTTCTTTAGCTATGAGAAACAGTGAAGAGGAAATGACTAATTGTAGTAAGCAGTATGAATTAAATCATGAACAATTTCAAACAGCAATAGTGGGTCATACAGCAAAAAATACTTTAGCTACGTTGTCACCTAAACAGAAATGTGGAACAGCTTCAACCTCAACATTGTCCTCTTTTAATCTTAGTTTGTCAAAAAAGAGACTCCTATCTCAAAACAAACATAAATTCAGTAAAAAAGTTAGACCTACTAGTGGAAATGATGATAAAGTGTTGGAGGAACAGCCTCAGCATTTCATATCAACAGAGTCTTCCAAAGCTATGTGCAAGAATATAGATAATGATTCTGTAAAATTAAGTGTTTTTTATTCAGAAACTGGTTCTCATTCTGAAAAAACAGAACCATGTGAAAGGAGTTTGAATCAGAAACTTGTAAATGAATTTGATTCAAAACCAGAAATTGGTGACAACACTAAGCGAGACCATGAAATCAATGTTGAACCTCTTCAAAACTGTTCTGATATAAAAAATGTTAATAAAGGAAAAATTAACAATGGTCCAGAGAGCTCAGAAGACACAGAGGCTCTTAAAACAAGAAAAGAACAGTGTTCCTTATTATCTCAAGAATTTTCTACACATTATTGAATATGTTTTAAGTCAGAAGGATGACCAAAAGCTGTTTAATGAAGATGATATGACTCATATAAGAAGTTTTCAACAGTTAACAGGTGATAATTTTGAACAATTTACTACTTATATATTACTTAAAATTTATTTATATATATATATATATTAACAATCCAATGTCCTGTAGACTCTTTGGCTTTGATATCATTTTTCTTTACTGGTCTTCATTTTAGAATGCCTTTTTGATTATAAAATTGCAATATATTTATCAAATCTGAATTATAAGTACAAAATTTTCTGTTTTGGCTTCACCTGTGCAAGTTAAGAACTTTTTTGTCCAGCTTGTTGAAGTTAAGACATCCCTTAATGGAAAGTCAAAACTTTTTATTTCAGAAGCTGGTCAAAAGTTATATGTACGATTGTTCCAACGTAAGCATAAGTGGATAAGGCCACAGAAAATAGAATACCCAGAAATAGCTGAAAACATTCTTCCCATTTTAGAAGAACTAGTAAAGGCTCAGCTTCTACATAACGGTAAGTCTCATGAGTTTCATAATATATTAAGAGAAAGATGCTATAAAAATTGAAACAGAATGGAAGTCATATGCACAGAATTTGTCAGTACTTATTACATAATATATTATCCTATTTCACACAGAAACCTTAGCTTTAAAGAAGTTTATAAACCACTTGCTATTTGTGGCTCTCAAATGCTCGAACTGAGTTTTATTTAGGTGAACAATGACTCTCAATAGAACATAAATGATTACTAATTAAAATAACATCTAATGATAGCAACATAAACTATTTAGAACAGTAACTAGTGTATATACGGCATTATGCAATAAGGTTACATTGTTGTGATATATATAGTATAGATGATAATACCTGTTGGTTTTATCTATTTTCTTAATAGTAAATGACTTAGAAGAACTAGAAGAAGCATTAAATTTACTGAATCCATTGGAGCTGAAAACTCTTTGCAAGACATTGGGCGTTGGCTCAGGTACGAAAGGAAAGAAAGAAACAATTGTAGTTATCCTGAAGCATGGAAGAGAACATAAGTCTGTATTCCAGTCCAAGTTTTCTCCCAATATCACTGGAGTAATCATGAAGAAGTAAGGTTCTAAAACTAAAGGTGAAACAACTGGCTTCAGGTTTATACATGCATTCGTGGGTAAAAAACTAAAGGTGAAACAACTGGCTTCAGGTTTATACATGCATTCGTGGGTAAAAAACTAAAGGT